AAACCATTAAAGTCCTAGAGGAAAACATAGGCAGGAAAATCGCAGATATTTCACGCAGCAACATATTTACTGATATGTCCCCTAGAGCAAGGAATATAAAAGAAAGAATAAACAAATGGGATCTCATCAAAATAAAATATTTTACTTTACATCTCTTCACAGTTAGTAAGCCACTTTAAAATCTGTTAGCCCTCTTGATCCCTATAACACCTCTATAAAGGCAAATGGGTCAGATAGGATATGCTTGGATTTTCGGATGCTAGAACAGATTCCTACAATAGATGGTTGATGTGTCCAAGTTTACATTAATTATAAGCAGCAGAGCCAAAACTGAACCTCAGGGGCTATCAACTCCTAGATACTTTTTCAACAGCAGCCTAATTTCTGAAAAGAAATGCATATGGGAACAATCTGCTTGTATATTTCTTACTTACTGTAGGCTCCTGTTTTCTATCAACTCATTTCCTTGACTTTTATTTCTCTATTAACCATCTAAATTAATAGAAAATAAATGCTCATCCAATTTAACTGAGCCATTAGCTTGAAATTTTTATTAAATAAGAGGAAATGAAATGTGAAAATATGTACAAAGATTAGAAGCATTATTTGGAAAACAGGATTGGTTAATGTCATATGAATACTAAGTCAACTCTAGGTATCATTTCAAATTCTCTATCCTCATTTTCCCACTGGCCCCAATTTTTTTAACCATTCCTTATTTTAAAAATGTGGTTTTATCATATGAATTTTTGAAGCTGCTTTAAATCATTTTGTAGCAAGATGAGATATAAGTAAATTAATTAAAATGATGGGTTATGTACACTGTAGTCAGTCTTCCATAATAATAATTGGGAAATAGTATCTACCCTTCCTGCAGTACATGGATTCACATTTTTTAACTATGTCTTTTGTTTATTTGTAAATAGTGTCTCCAAGCCAAAATGGTATTGTAGGTCTTTTTAAAAACAAACTATAGATAAGTTTATAACACTGATCCTTTCTATTTATATTTATTACCAAGTAAAAGTCACATATAGTACACAAAACAAACCTGAATAGTCATAATTGGCTGGGAATCAGGTCTAGTTGCATGAGTGAAAATTTTCAATTGCAGAATAGTTCAACAAAATTTATGGGAAGTTATTTTTTTAAATAATAATATTCACAGATATTTCACGCAGCAACCCTGTTACCTATTCTAATAATGTATCCAAGTTAATTTATTATCAGACACACCATACTATGGAAATGGATTGGCACTTGAAGCAAACATTTTTATTACATGTCTAATCATAGAAATTTTTAATTAAACTAATTGGATGAAAATACACGTTTTTAATAATTTTCTCATGTAATTTTCTATTAAAAGGAGTTCAGGATATACATTTTGTGCCACTATTATTTTCTTGCTTTGCTGTTTATTTTTTTAATCACTATTCTATCTGCCTATTTTCACTCTTTAGGTAACTTTTTGAAAATTTGATATAATAGTGTGTATCTGTTGGGTCAAATTATTTGAAAAACAGTAGAAATTACCAGCGTCTTTATTTGTTTAATTTACTCAATAAAGTAAGAGAATAGTCTCTTAGCCTTGACCTAAAAGTCCTTCCCCTTCTTTCATTCTCATTCCCAGGCCCCTGCATTTGGTCACAGAACTTTGAATGTCATCCATTTGTACTTCCCAAATATCTATGTCCAGTCTAAGCCCCTCCTGATCCCCAGATATTTCTTCCCAACTGCCTATTAGATCTCTCCTTTATTCAGATATCACACAGGCCTCTCACCCTTATCATATCAAGGCCACACTCCTAATCTTGACCCCAGCCTCTTCTTCCTGCAATGCTTTATAACAGTCAATGGCAAACCCATCCCTCCAGGTGCCTAGACTCCAAACACTGAAGTCATTCTTGCTTCTTTTCCTTGTCCTACTCCTTCTCCCTCTCTTTTTCTTTCTCTGTTCACAAATTAACTAATGCTATTATCTCTATCTTCACTATCTCCAGGATCCAAATACTGGTTATTTCCATGTGTAATATGCACTTTTTTGCCCAAATTTCTGAGGGAAAAATAAGGATGTGCATTATACATGGGTATAGTGATTACATACCACGGATATAATAAAAGGTATAATAATCCCATATATAATGTGCACAAAAATGTGGGTACACATTATACACAGCAAAATACAGTATTTATCATCAACTCACCATCCTCGTTCAGTACTCTAGCATCTCTGGCTATAGCAACAACTCTATCTGCATGTCTAGCTTCACATCTTGCTTTCCCACAATCTATTATCAACTCAGCAGCCAGAATGATGACAATTCATGTTAGTCCTCTGCTCAAAAGCCCCAGTGGTTCTCCATCCACTTAGATTGAGAACAGAATTCTTTTATCATGACCTGTAAGACTCCACAACATCTGACCTTGGCTGACCCACTTCTTACCACTAGCCTCCTTCCTTTCACTTTGTTTCAACCTCACTAGCCTCCTTGCTGCTCCTGACTCAAGATCTTACTGATTTTTTTTTCTTCTTCCTGCTTGGAATGACTTTCTGCAATTCCTTCATCTACTTCAGTTCTCTGCTAAACTGTCCATTTCTCGGTGACATAACTATACTATTTAAATTGCACTCTCCCCTCCCCAACATTTGCCATTGGCTCTTCTTTGCTTTGATATTCTCCATGTGATTCATGCTGTCTTTTCTTTGCTTGTTTAATGCCAGGCTTCCCATATTCATTGTCATCTTTAGGAGACAAAGATTCTTGTCTGTTTGGTTTGAAGCTGAATCCCAACTTCTAGTCCCTGACATTCAGTAAGCATTCAGCAAATATTTATGTATTGAATTAAAGGAAGGAGGTAGGAGAAGGTCACAGTGAGAAGTGTAGTGGCACTAAAGTGGAGGGTGTATGAAGATGACTGCTAAAGGAGAAAATGGGAAATACAGATTGAGATGAGCAAGTGAGTTTGAGAGCTTTAGCTGTAGGGATAAAAGTGTTCCTGAACAAGCAAATGTCCTGATCAGAGCATTCTGACCACCATGCAGAAAAGAAAGTCGGTACATGTGTTGAAGGAAATAGATAGCACGCAGGTTTTTGGTGCAAGCTTCTGCATCAAAGGCCCATCAAGAATACGTTTTTCTTTCCAATTAAAAAGTCAAACTAGCTTAAGGAATTTGTGGCCTCACATAACTGAACAATTCAAAAGCAAATATGTCTTTAAGCATAGCTTTATCTAGGGCTCAAATAATGTCAAGAGATCCTTTTTTCCCTCTCCATTTCTTGATATTTTTTCTTCAATGGTCAACACAATCCTCAGGTTCCATACATGGTTATAGGCCCTGTGTCCTCTCTTCTCCAAGTCTCAAAGAAATTATTATGGCTTTTCATTGTCTCTAAAGTAGTCGCATGCCCATTTCTCAGGCATTCATAATAGTCTGGGAATGAATGGAATGATCATTGAGTTAGACTAGGTTACATTTCACCCTTGAGGTAAGGATTGGAGAACAGTTGATTCTCCACAAGGAACTTGGGGTATAACTGTTAAAAGAAGAGGGAAATGGAAGCTATTAATGGCTGATATGTGATCACTACAGAGGGGCAATAAGGGTTTGAACTTAGACCATTGCAGTAGGAATGGAAGATAAAAGAAAGAAGTAACAGGCATCATGGAGATGAAATCAAGTAGATCTGGCTCTGAACAGGAAGGGGATAGGACACAGAGAAGCTTGAATGCAACCCAGATTTTGTGTTTGTGAGACTAGGGCTTGGCAATGTCATTAATGAAGATTCAGGATGAAGTAGGAGGAAGAGATTTACAAGAGAAAAAAAGCATTTTGTTCCTTCCTCATGCCTATTTTTGTTAATAAAATAGTTTCCAGCTTCTCAATGCTCAAGAAGGATTGAGTTCTACAAGAGGGAGGAAGCAAATTCTTCTACCGACCACTTATTCTCAGAAGACTGGTCACCACACTTCTGAAGAATCTTATCTCTAAGTCCATATGTGAGAGAATCAGATTGAAAATTTATTTTCTCTGAATAGTTTGAATTTCCTTTGGTTGAGCTACCAGCATCTACAATGTAGAAAACTGTTAGAATCAAGTTCAGTCTTTTCTTGTAGAACATTTCAACATGAGTGATTTAGGATTGTAAGGCCACCTTCTAATGTACTGTGGATTAGTTTTAGAGAAACATGGGATACTCATCTATAGAACTCTAGTCAAAGCCTTGTCAAATTACAAAGCAAGAAACCTAATTGTTAATAGACCAGGATGCAAGAAAGGAGTGAAGATAGGCACTGAATGATAAAATGACGTGTTCAGTTATACTCTTCATTTTTTGAATGTTTACCATCTGCCAGGTACTGTTCTAAGTCCTTGACCTATAATAAATCATTTAATCACCACAGGAACTCTTTGTAGTGTGTACTATTATCATCTCCATTTTATAGGTGAGGAAACAGAGATATATAAATGTTATGTATCTTGCCAAAGGTCCCACAACTGGTAAGTGGAACTAATACTCAAACCCAAGCAGTCTGGCTCAAGGACCCATCTTCTTAATAAACTGATTATATCTTCCAGAACTGTCCAAGACAGTTGTAATTTATGCCTATTGTCTTGGCATAAATATAAATATGAGCTCTAGAGTTTCCCCATTTGGACAATAAATTATGAACACCATTCTTCTTAACTATGATAGTTTGCTTATTCAAAGCCAAGAAAAACATAGTCTGAACAACAGAGATATCCAGTGATTAGTCTGTATCTCTAGTCAAAAACAAAGGTGACAATTTGGGTTGAATATGACTATTTGGTCACTGTCCAGTTTGTCCTAAGAATTAAACTAACTGCATTGTTATAGGTTTGATTTTAACCAACCAACCACTCTGTTATCTTACAATTAATTCTTCAGGTTCTGCTTTATGCTACAATAAAGTTGCCAATGGACTATGTTCTTTCTGAAGTGTTTTCTTTATGCCTCAACATTTGGCCTATCCAGGTTCCCCCGGATCTCCAGAATGAAGTGCTGATCAGCCTGTTAGAGACCGATCCCGACGTGGTGGACTATTTACTCAGAAGAAAGGCTTCCCAATCCTCGTGAGTACTCCAGTTTCTAAAGCCACTTGGGGATTTCTACTTGCATTTCTAAAGAATTGTAAGAGTTTCTCTATGCATGATGACTTGAAGTGGAATTGTGGCAACTTTCTGGCACAGCCAATCACTCTACCTAACTGGAAATTGCTTTGGTTTTACCAATCCACACATTGAATTAGAAACTGCTTCACAGAATTTATTTTTTCATTTTCGTTTTTGGCTTTTTCCTAGACCCTCGAGGTCCTTTTGACTGTGTTTACTGGGAAAAAAAACCCCACTAAATCACTGGTAAGAAACTCAAGGTTCTGACTAGGACACACATCAGTGATTCTGCTTCCAGAATTCTGATAACTGTTTTTATGGCCCCATAAAGCTGAGCCTGCATGCACCTGACATGTGTAATTTACCAGCACAAGTGGTGCATTACCAAACCACAAGACAGGCCTCAGCCAAGGCCTAGGTGCCCATTTGAAATTAGAAGCTGGCACCCTCTTGACTCCCCTGCCCTTTATAGCTAGCATCCTTTTGATAAAAATACATGTTGGCCTTCACATACACCTATGGTTGCGATGAATAAAATGCAAGCCGTGCTGTAGGCTATGGTTTACCACCATTTTTACCCTCAAAGGAGGAGCACTGAATTTTTGCATTAGTCAGATTTTATGATTAATTGCAATCATGTGCTATGGAGGCAGAGTGTATGGGGCTACTGAGCATTTGGTATTCCAGTTAAGAGGGTAATATTGCATCATTACCAGGAGCAATATTGCCACCATGGCATCAAGTCTTATATTTGTGACCAAAAAAGTTGTTATTATCCTCTCATGAAAATATCATTTATGTTGTGCTTTCGATCTACTGAATTTCAACAATTCCAAGATACACTTCCCCCAATGTTTTGTCAACTCTGAAGTTGAGATTAACCTTATAATCAATGGTCTGTCCTACTTTAATTCATAACATTTTTTCTTTCTTAACCATGTATAAAATAATACTATGTCTTATTCAATGATATCTTAGACACATTAAAACATATTAAATTGTCCCTTTATATTGATGCCGAATTTGATGTGTTAATTTTTCACTTAAAACTATTTGAGATATAAAAGTATTATATTCTTTAGAAAAATTTGGTAAAAAGGAGCTCCACGTTGTTCAGGCCTCCTTCTTTCCTGGGTCATTACGTTAATAGCACTGCTAAATTCAGCTTCAGTCCATTTCCTGCAGAGCAGGGAAGAATTTTTAATTGGTTCAACCTTTCAGATGTACTTTTGAAAGTCCATCTCTATGTCAATAATTATCAGGCTAAATTCTGGTTCAAGTAAGACATTTTGCCTGGATTCAAACACCAAGAGCCACAAGTGAATGAAAGTATACTTAAATTATATAAATGGGCTGCCATTTCATGGTCTTGCTTTCATATCAGATAATTAGGTTCACTTAAATTTTTCCTAGATTTTTAACTGCCATCAAGGTGGAAGTCTAAATTAAAATAACAAATGGCTTTTTTGCATAGTATAACTTGCATCCCCAGAATTTTAATGAACTGACTTATTTCTCTCCCCTGTGCAAAAAAATAAATAAAAATAAAAGCAGACATGTTGGCACTTTTATTTGTGATTCATCCATTAAGCTGCATTTATAACATTTCATGGGGGTACTACTCTGTGGGAAAGCTGGAAAATGCACCTAAAAAATACTGATTTTGACTTGCCACACTTCTGTTTTGGTATGGCATTTGGGTATATAAAAACATTGAACTTTAAAGAATGAATGATTGGTAATAGTTATCTTATGTGGGTGTCAAGTATGTTTTTTTACATATAAATGCCAGGAAGTAAACCTTTCTTTTTCACTCTTAGGAAAAGGACAAAGTGTACATATTAGGCCCATCCCAAACTGTATAATTGATTAGCCTTTTCTTTTTGCTATCCCTGTGAGAATCAGAATTCTGGGGTCTAAGCAAGCTGACCCTAGACCAAGATGTTAGGTGAGTGTCACGGCTTCAAGGAAAGGGAAGCGAGCTCATGGAAACTCTGTAGATATCAGAGACTAGCATTATCAAACAGAAAACATTTAAAAAAGACTTTCCTAGTCAGGAGGAGAAGAGTGTTTGTTTGTTTGCCTAGAAACAAACATAAGAACAGCCCAGAAGGTTGATAATGGTGTCATATAGTAAAAATACATAAATTAATAAATTGATTTTTATTTTTAATGGCCTTTTGAGGCTTGTGAATCCTAACCCTCGAGCTGTAGGTAGTCTGTTCATGCCTTAAATGAGTGCTTTTCAAACTTTACTGTGCATACCAATCACTAGGAGATCTCATTAAAATGCTCTTTGTGAACCAGTAGGTCTGGGGGAGGGTGTCTGAGAAATTACGCTTCTCTCAAGCTCCCAGATGATCCTGTGGTGCTGCTGGTCTGTGATCCACACTTTATGGAGCGAAAGCTTCAAATATCAAGGCATATTCTTGACTTTAAGAGCTTGCAGACTTGTTGAAGGAGTCCTAAGAGGGTAAAAATAACAGGAGGTGTGTGATTAAGTATGTCACGGAGCACAAAACAGTATGTGCTGGTCTGCCGGTTCTCAGATTTGTCTGCCCAATGTGAATCACCTGGGCAGCTTGGCAAAGTATGCCTGCACACCACTCCTAGAAATTCTGACCCCTTTGTTCTGGGGTGCAGTTGGGACATTGGGATTTTTAAAAGCTCTCCATGAGATTCTACTGAGCAGCCAGAGGTAAGAATCTCCAGCTTAGATCCACCACAATAGGTACAACATATTTACTCTCACTGTGGGTGATTTTTGACATTAAAATGGGGGTCTTTGTGTTAACAAAGGAAGGGAACCAATACTCCAGACCTCAAATCCATGATAATGATGGATTACAGTGGTGACAAATAACAGTACCCCAGTTTCCAGGTAGTGTTGGCTACATTGGTTATGTCAATTACCCCTGTGTAGCATAACATGCTGGTTATGAGCTTTGGATCCAGAGCCAGATCTCCTGAGTTCAAATTTTATTTTCACTCCTGTTAGCTGTGTGATCTTGCATAAATAAATTCATCTCTCTCTGTTTCAGTTTCCTCATCTGTAAACTACAGATAAAAACTTTATAGAGTTATGCTATTAAAATAGTGTTTTTAATAAATGTTAATGGTTGCTCTCACATTACTTAGCATTTCACCATTTTTAATGTACAATAGTTCTTTTTTATTTAATCTTTATCGTATTTTCTCTTACCTTTTAGTCCCCTTATGCCCCCCTCCCCCCAGCAATCACCACCCTGTTGTCTATGTTCATGAGTACTTTTTCCTTTTTGCTCAATTCCTTCACCCCCTCACATCCCCCACCACACACTAGCTGTCATCCTACTCACCATTTTCTTTACTTACAACTACTTGCCAAAGACTTTGGCATCACTAGAGTTTACCTTGCTACCCCATGAGATAGCAACTTATCTCACAAGTGAGTTCTCATCCACATAAGATGTAGGCAGTGCCTAAATGCAAAACCTACTTGTACATGCGTGATCTAATTGGCATCAAGATGATGTCACTGATTCTGGAACAGAGAGGGGTTGAGAATAAAAAGGCACTGAAGTAAGGCAACAATTCGCTCACTCTAGGGCCGGATAGAGTTCACAAGGGACTGGAAGGGATCACACATTTGCACGGAACGAGGGAAGAAGACCTACTCAAGGCATGCCATCATGGTAATGGTCAGAATCTTGTTTTGGAGACTTTATGTCTTCAAAAGGTTGAGAGCTAGGGTATAATAGTTAAGAATTAAAAGAATTTGTACAAAGACAACAGAGTGCCAAGCAACTGAACTTCTAAAGTGACCACCTGAAGTGCAGTGATACATGGTCCCCCTCTCATATTCTCTTTTGATCCTTTGTTATTTCCCCCCTGAAGCTTCTGGTTTTAGCCATCAGTTCACATACCTAAAAAAGGCTTTAGATTTGTGTGCCCCATGTGGAAACTGCACAAAATTTTATTTGGACTGGAAAAGTAAATTTTCAAAAGAGTGTAGAACCAAGAAAAAAACATATTTATTAAAACTTCTGTCTTGAAACATCAAACATTTAGTGATACTTGGGAAGTTAATGTTTAGTTTTGTTGTGATTTTTTTTTCTTCTTTACGCAACAAGAGAATTGGAGGAGTGAAAGGGGGGATCATTATTTATTCTTGTGCTTGTCTACTTACATTTTTGTCTTTAACCACAACAGAATGCCAAAGGGAGAGGAGAAGAGATTTATATTACTAACAATACAAGACTTTATGTTTTTAAATTGCTTGTCTGGTATATTTATTGTAATTATATGCTCTTTTCTTCAAAGATACTTAAAATAAACTGCCTTCCTTTGATTTAAGGATGTAAGGAAATAGGGAATGAGAATAGAAGTTAAATCAAAGAGGCCAAGGTACACTAAATGCAGGCATTTGCAACAGAACAAAGGTGTCATAGCAGAACTGGGACCAGGGTGAGCAGAGGAAAGCAGGCACTTTCCTAGGTGCAAAATTTAAGGATATGCCACAAAACTCAGTCATCAAAATAAACAACATTGAAATGTAGTATTTTGGAAATCAAAGTTATTACGGACAAAGTATCAAAAAATATAAAAGCCTAGTACCAGGCGAAACCAGACTAGATCCTGAAGCAAAAGGTGCCCCTGATTTAATGAAAGCAAGTCATTGATAATGTTTTGCAAATGTACTTCTTTATCTTATTTTCAAGTGAGAGAATTGCTGTGTTTGACAATTTCTCTGGACCTTGTGACAATCTTAAATAATTTAAATTAATTTAACCCAAATTAAAATAACAAAATTCTGTTTGGGCATAAATAAAGCTTTTAAACTTAATCTAATGTTGTGAGTTCTAATACACCCACTTTTCAAGCTTTCAATATTTTTTCAATTGCTTTAATGTTCTTGGAAAAATTAATCATTAAAAATTTACATAAAACCACATATACTTCTATGGTATACAGAGCTAAAT